AGAAATCCAGAAATGTAGGAGACTACATATGTTATCACTTATCGGGAGGCCAGAAGAAAAGTCTATAATAGGCTTATAGTACTGCGAAATGTGCGGTAAAAGGGGATCTTGACTTCAAGCAAAAAGACCCGTGCCTATGCAAGTTTGAATTAAAATACATAGCATATGCTCTTGGAACTTTTTTACCCCTCTTTTTAAGATAGCATCACTCTACTACTCCATCTATAGAAATCATCATGAGCTTAAAATGTCGTAAATAATGATCAGCTATGCCAAAGAAAACCATTACATCTTTTCCACAAGGATAATGGGTTCAAAGTTTGTCATTATTAACGTTTAATAGCAGTAACTATGGAGTTCTCATGACATGAAAGCCAAAAGTATATTCCTAATACGAGACATTAAGAAGATAAACAAATAAAGGGGCATTTTGCCAAAATCCATTTGTTTCATGAGAGCAGTAATTTAAACAATGCAATGTGGTACCAATTAAGTAATTGACATGGTCTAGATTCTAGTTAGACAAGACGGGTTAGCGGTTTCATTTGACTCTCCAACTAGTCAGCAAGCCAGAGAGTAGAAAATAAGCACTAAGAGAAAATAAGCATGTAATTTAATAAAACTACACCAGGTCATCCAATAACAAGAAGTAGGTGACAATAAACTGTGCATTTAGTAAACATCTAAGCTTATAAAGAAAATATGCAATTAACACACTTTACTCTAGAATGAGAAGCATGTCATGATAATACATTATATCTTAAAATTGATAAAAATAAAAACAGTTGAATAGTTTATCAGACGTGATGTTTTATAGTCAAAAGCAGAACAAGTACAAAACAATTTCATCTTAATAGGTATAACTAATGGATAACTGAAATCATGCCAGAACACCAATATCTGTTCACAATTTTTAATGCTAGCAATGTAACCAAATGGCTAGCGACAGAATACACAATTGAGGTGAAAATCACGACTATATCGGACAACATGGCTAAAGCGCAGGACTAGGGTTTAGCTAAACCCAATTGTGGGAGAAAAAAAGAGACGAGGAAAAATAGAGGAACCTGTGATGGTGCCGTGAATGACAGTTCCGTTCTTGAGCTCAATCGAAACCGTTTCATTGTTCAGCTTCATCAAACACCTGCACAATGTTTTTCAAACCGAATCCGATTATAAAGAGATCTAAGACGTTTTATTTTTTTTAGACATAATTGTTAAACACGGAGAGGAGACACAATTATCTGATCAGGAGTTGAGTTTAAAGAGGGAAACTGAAACTGACCTGACGAGCTTCATGTTGAGATAAGAGAGCAGAAGTAGAGCTTGATGCAAAAGGCGAGGAAAAAAAAGCCAATCCAAGGAAGCGGGAAAGAGAGAGAAGCTGACCTGTTTGCTGCTTCCGCCAGGTCTCGAAGTCGGAGGTGATTTAGGGCTCGGGCAACAGCTAAAATGTCTATTCTGCACTTCATAAGAAAACGACGCCGTAGCTGGACCAATTGATTTAAAGTTGGGCAGGCGACGCCCCAGCACCCTCACCATCGACAAGTCGGGGCATTTTTACTAAAGTAATATTATTATATTTAATTAATTAATTAAATAACATCCAAAATATTACTCATGAAAATGAAAACTTATTCTCTATTATGATGTGTCGCGTAATTTGACGAGAGATGGATCCAAAGTTTTAAATTTTTATATATTTTAAATATTTTTATTAAAAATATGTTTCATCCTTATAAAATTTTATAAATCTTTTCATATTTAAAATTTTATAAAGTCACGTACAAACTTTGAAGATAGAAGGATTGTTTCAACGTGCAAACTGGATGTAGCTGGCATTAAGCAAACAAATTGCGATGTAGCTGGAGGGAACACAGAGGAATCTGTTTTCGTGGGCTAACCCCAAAGCTATGGGCCTGCCTGGCAATTCTCGAGCCTGTAGGATCGGATTGAGCCTAGTGTAGTGATAAAATGGTAATTCCAGCGAACCACTTCAACATCATCTGCTGCAGCCTGCAGGCAGCTGAAATGATCTGTTATAAAATGTACGTACACTAATATCCCAGGCAAAGGTGACAGCCAAAGGACCTGCCCTGCCTGGCTGCCCATTGCCCCCATTTTCTCTTCCCTTTTCCTCCTCCTTTAAACCCTGTTTCTAAAACCTCGCGTTTGATCTCCAAGGTAAGTTGTCCTCAACTTTCATGATGTAAAAATACGTGAAGATAGGTTGATTAAAAATGTTTTATTCTTTAGCTCTTGTGATTTTCCTTGACTAAACTTTGGATGTTTTTTTATCTTCGGATCCTTCGATTTGTGACAAGGTCGTCTTCTTTTTAACGCTTTAATATCCGGGAAGTTGTTGCCTTTTCTTTTTTCTTCATATATCTCAACTTGCACTTCTAATTTCTTCTTTGTATATATGGCTCCGTGTGAGCTGTTTGTCACTGTTTGTTGGGTGTTCTTTTTCTTTGGCATGTTGATTTTTAGAAAACCCTGCTTAAATTTTTCTTGCTGCAACATGTTGATGATGTGTCTGTTATAAGTGTTTTATCGTAGTAGAAATTGATTTATTATTTGTTTTTGTTTAGTTATTTGTTCAGTTAAGGGCCAATTGATTTTACTTTTGGAGATATGGATGGACAACATGGTCATGAGAACCCTCACATGTCACTGAATTCTGGTAGGAATGTCAATGATTTCTCGTATGGCTATGTGGATGATATGAACCCGGTCTTTCTCACGGCGACGGGGAGAAACACAAATCGGCCTATTCTCCAATCCTTATCTCAGTGGATTGAGTGTCCCAAAATGCCTCACAGTTATGTTGAATTTCTAACAGAGAGTCTTGAAGAGGTTCCTACTGCTGATATGTTAGAGAGCATTGGTTCTCCAGTTAGTGGCATACATGCTGTTGATGGGATCTCTGAAATTCAAAGAAAGGCTTTCAGTTCTGGTCCAGATGCCTTTTCCCTTGAGCCAGATCATGGGAAACTAATGCTATCTGCTTCCTCTACTGAAATCAACAACCATGAAGCTTCTGCAAGTGTATAAGCAAAACTGCCTTTTCTTCTTTCCTGCAGGGATAATTTCTGATAAAACTGCTTTTGTTGCAGGAAATATTTTTGAGGCAACATGATAGACTATCTGCGAACACATTTTCTAGCTCGGAATATGAATTCCATGCACAGGTTAACTTCTTTCTCTATGTTACAATTATATCTGAGACTCTTGCATCAAGAACCTGTCCAAACTTAGAACTAAAAGAACTTGCTCATAATGCAACATTGTGTCTTTCAGCAAAACAATGCTTTCTGTATGCAAGAACCAAAAGAAGATGATTATAATGTTCTTCACTTTCAATCAAAGGGAACCTTTGATGCACCCTGTTTCCAGTCCAAACCACAGTGTCGGGTACCCAAACCAAGAGCTCCTGCAAATGATCGTGTAAGTATACCATCTCTCCTAGCCTTTAAACATACTATACTAGTAATAAATGACCCTAACAAATACAACTGAATTTGGAATGTGGATGCTGTCCCATTATTTGATTTTGGATTTTCAAACATGTTACTTGGATAGTGTCTTTCTATGTATGCAGCAACGAAAGATACGAATCGCTGAAGGTATCAAAGCATTGCAGGAACTGATTCCTAATTCTTCTGAGGTAATTTATTTCTTTACGAACAAGCAAAGAGCCTGGTGCACATATACCTTTTCCATTGGCAACCTAAATTGGTATATGACCCCATATTTGTCAACATAACATTTTTATTCATCTTCCATTTCATTTTACTCATCTTTGTGTGACAAATTAGCTGCTTAGCATTTAAATAAAATGAGCAAAACAATATATAAGGAATCATGGAAGAGGTTAAGCAGCAACATTGTTCCACCTATGTTATTTTGTTTAACTGAGGAGCTTGATCCCTTAAAAAACTGTGGGAATACACCTCCTTGCCTTTATTTTTCACATTTTTCTTTTGCAGCGTGGTCAAGCAAATGCACTGGATGATGTTATTGACTATGTCAAGTTTCTGCAGATGCAAATCAAGGTAGCTTTTATGTCTTATTGCTATCAGGATGTATATGCTTTCATATGCTTATCTTGTCGACCTTTCTTGTTTTTAAACTTCATCCACTATTAGAATTGTTTATACTTTTGGCCATTGCATTACACTCATTGTATTGTATGAAGCTTGGATACTGTTTACTCCAACGACTAATCTTCACCTTTTGTATTAGATTGTATGTAATAAATAACATTTTAATATATATTTGGTATCACTCTATTCAAGTGGAAACTCTAATGGTGTAGGAATTAAGTCGAAGTAGATTGGGAGGCGAACCAACTTCTAATCCTTTGGTTTTCTTTGAGGTTCTGGTTTCATGCCTTTACTATATAAGATACTTATAAAAGCAACCTTGGAAATGTTTTTCGAATTGAGTAAAATTGTATGTAAAAATCTGCAGGGATATGGTCACTATGTTCTCCATGAACATATGATAAATGAACCTCTTGAAGAGATGATGGGGAAGTTACTGGAGATAAACCCATCAGCAGCAAGTCAGCTGTTAGAGAGCAGAGGCCTTCACATTATGCCAAGGGCACTGGTTGATGGCTTGAACAGAACCTCATAGATAGTCCATACACAGCACCACTCTGCTATATCCGCTTAGTTTTGTTGGTCGTTCGTTACTTTCAGAATCAAGCAAATACTTAAAAGACTAGCTATGATCCGAGTTTCCATTTCTTTTGTGGACAATAGAACCTAAACAGTATTTCTAGTTTCAAAACACAGTTTACAGAACAATGGCTAGTGTTCTTAAGTTTTAGTTGAATGCACTTCGGAAGCTCTAGGCTGCGAGCCTGTAAACTGTTGGACAGCTATTTTCTAGATATTTCTTTAAGTTTTAAAGTTACTTTTGGGGTGCCCCTGAACGGCTATTTACTCCTCTTGTGGGCCTTTACTTTATTTCTTTCTTAAGAAAATAATCTATCATCCCAGGTTGTTTTCCCCGACGAGTCTATCGTAATTAAGAGGCACATCAATGGGATAATGAGAATCCGGAACCATTGCGAGCATAGACGGAACAAAGGCTCTCTCCATTTTAGCATTAGTGGCAGCCAGTGCTTTTTCCAAAGTAGCCATGGCGACTTTAGTAAGCCAAATTAGCGCAATTGCTGTGAAAGAAAGAAGCAAAAACAACCCAAAATTATGCAAAAGGAACGCAGAATCATATTGAACTTTTCGTCCTTGTTCCTTTTGTGAGTTCGGTATAAATCTAATTCGTGTTCTAATATGTCCCTTCTCGAAACTTTTAAATAAGAACTAAATTGAACCTTAGACCAGAAGTTATCTTTTAAATGAGACTACTACAGAGGTTGTCTCCATTTCTCTAGAAAATATAATTTTATTTGAAGTTGGTTTCAGATATATATGTTTTATCATCCAGCAAACAGTCTCAGTTAACCTAACGAATAAAAGGGCGATGGGGGCTTACCGGATGCGCAAAAGCCGATTGCCATAAAAATCTGTATTCACAGGCAAAGATCATTTCACAGATAAAGATCAAATATCCTTTAAAAGCTAACATAAACAGGGCAAAATACTTGCCTGCCGAATTGTAGAAGTATCATTCCATTCATGTGTGACATCTGAAAGGTCCTTTACTGTAGTTCCGACGTATGCCAGGGCAAATATGGAAGGCTGTAATAAGAGACGGACACGAAGCTGAACATGTTTAAAAAATGTTCGACCAGAAAAGGTCGAGATGAAACCTCAAAGATGAAGATACTCGGAGTAAATACCATCATTCCTAACCAAGATGCCAACATGTACACCCTGAGATGAACAGGAGTCATAAAAAGGAAGTAATTCAACAAGCTGAACGGTACTAAAGAAACAAGCCGGCGCAGAAAAACAATCTGTTGGGACCAAAAAAGCAAAGAAAATTAACAATTTCACAACAGAGCTCCATGATACACACTATATGATATAGAGCGTGCAGTTTATGCAAGTCCTAACTTCTTCAGAACTATCTTCATGTAACAATCATCAACTGAAACTCTCCATTTCAAGTAGTTCATATGACATTAAACTTGAAATTCATCATTGTCAATCAAGTAGTTCATATGATAGTCACATATGGGCCCAATAGGCTAAGAAAAGTCACAAAACTCTTGCCTTAAAACCAGATGTCTCAATTGCCCTAGCAACAGCCTGGAACTTTGGATAATTCCTTAGTTTAGATATCGAATATAGGCTCTTCCCAACTGCCAGAAAAAAGCAAATAAAATTCATTAGAAACTTTCTTCCCGGAAATAAAAGGTAAGCTTATATTTAGGTAGGGATTCAAATCGCGTTCGCGGCCGCGTTTTCATTCGCGTTGCATTTATCACGGTGGCGGACGTAACGGATGTTATTGCGGACGTGAATTTTTTTTAATTAACACAACTTAGTACAAAATATAATAAATTATAATTATAAAAAAAATCAATTTTAATGATATTTAGAGTGTTTTCTAACACTTTGAACTTCTAAAAACTTTTATTAATACATGAACATAATTTTTACCATCATTAATTATTCTTATATTTATTTATAAATTTATTAAAAATATTATACAAGAAACATAAAATTAAAATTTATAAATATAAAACAATTCATTACTTCTATTATCAATAATATAATACAAAATATAATAAACATTTACTAACAGTGAAGAAAATTAATTTATTGAGATTTCTTTTGGTCTAAACCAAAAACATTAAAAGTAAAAAAAAAATATTTAAAATCTAAAACATAAATTGAACTCCCATGTTTATTTTTCCCCTTGATTTTCATCAAAAAGTTTCATTTCTTTTCTTGTAGTTGTATTGTTGAAAGCTCCTACTTGATAAACATCATATCCCGGTTCAAAAGACACTGTTCGGCCAAGAATGAATGCAGCAGTAGCCTCTACAGCAGCACCGATTGAATCAGCAAGAAATCCCACTGGCAGCCCAAACAGATAACCTCCCCCGAGCTGAAAAACTCCAAAAAGAAGAACGCATTTGTCTCTTCCATAGAAAACCATATGTGCTAGAATATTGAAACAACTGAACGCCGTTTCAAAATCCATATTACTATAATTATACTAATCTAAATTGCAGAGAGCAATGAGAACCCACGGTAAGAACCGAAGCGGGAACAGCAAGGATTGCAAAAGGAATGTATGATATGGCCCTGCAATGCCAAGAAACATATGTTTTATGTAATCATGGAGCTATATTATCAGACATGCTATATTGTAGGGTGTAGCTTACAGCACAAATGGACCCCATTGACCAAGATCTTCCTTAACCCAGAACAGAAAACCCTTCACCGACTGCATCATCGATTCTTTTTTATTAATAAAGTCGCAGAGATGCAAATATGAAAAAAAGGTACACGTTTCGAATATCGATTATTTATAAGATCATCTTATAAGCAAACTCAAAACAAAACAAGCATATGAATGTAAGAAAAAGGAAACGCCTTTTCAATGGGAATGGAAAGGAGAACTGAAGCAATGACGACCAGGAAAAGGAGGGAAAACACGATTCTAGAAGCTGAGACCAAGGTTAAAAAAACATCCGCCATGTCGGGAAAAAGAAGACAGCCCTTTGCCTGGTCGGGGCTCCAGAGGCAGAGGCTGTCGTTTCGATGGTGGTGGTCTTTGGCGCCCAAACAAAACTACCGTTTGTCTCAACCGCGATCGTGCCTTCAATTCAACGACCTTTTTGCCTAATTTAACTAACCCATTTTTATGTACTTCTAATTTTTTTTACAGAAAAGGAACGCATATTTTATCTAAATTTAGATACTAGTTGCTATAATTAAGTTAAGCACTGGGCATATATGGTGTATAGATATTTGGTGTGCGTTTCTTTCTCTGCTTCTCTTTGTTTGATCTGAGTATTGAGTTCGAAGTGGCAATGAGCACAACCTGTTTGTTATTGTTTCAGATTTGTAGACACCCGTTTTTGTCCGGGTCTTTTATATTTATTTTATTATTATTATTATTATTATTATTATTATTATTATTATTATTATTATTATTATTATTATTTACAATATACATATTTTTGTAGGCCAATCCCGAGGCCCATTCTCGAAGCCCACCAAGAACCCAATAAGCTCACCCATCAGCCAAACCCTGAACCTAATTCACCATAAGGCTATCATCTAACAACCAACCGCCACAGTCGTTGGCCTTCCATCTCCCAGCCGTGCTTGAGGCGTCGATGGTGAATCCCGAGCCGGTCGTCATCAGCAATCTGGTCACACAGTGAAGCAAATGTCATCAACAGTGTATCAAACTTACCCCAAATCTAAAAACCCATTAAAATAACACCCAAAAATCCCGAAAAATCTGGACTTTATTCACCCAAATCAGAGAAATCAAATCCTATCCATAGACCTCATCATCTCACCCAAAAAGAAGGATTTAAAAATCAACATGCATCAAAGAGAGGGGATTCGGGTTTTGAGAAAAAAAAATAAAAATAAAGAGAACTAAAAAAATCCTTACCAAAAAAAGGAGTGTTGATCATCGCTTCACCGGACCAAGAGCCTTTCATCTCTGAAGGTAAGGGTCTTGTGTTGGTTGGGGTTTGGTTTTGGGGTTCCATTCTTTTTGTTTTGTTGGAGAACAGAGGTAAAATGAGAGAGGAAGAGTAGAGAACGGATGGGAGGGGGGAAGAATTGAAAATAGGGTTCCTAATATTTTAAGGTGGTATATAGCAACTTAATGGAACGACACAGTATGGATGCTAGGATTCCATGTGTTGGGTGTATGGTTTAATCGCGTCAAAAGGGTCCTCATCTTGTAACATTTTAATTTTAGTCATTAATGAACTTTTACTTTCTTATATTTTGAGCTTCCATTTTGTTTTATGTTATAATTCCATCTCATCTGCGTTTGTATTTTTATGTTCATATTGAATTTCAGCCATCCTACTTTAATTGTTTTTATCTAGGTAGTGTATGTTTTCATTAATGCATTTCAATCACTTTTTTTACATTGTTTGCTTTTGGTCAAGTTTATGATGATGGCATGTTATTTTATTTTATTTTATTCTAATCCTGGATATTGTTTGTGGTTTATTCTCATTTTTGGTCATCTATTGTTCGATATATTTGATTATTGTCCCGGTTTGTTATTGATTTTGCAGTTTAGAATTACAAGTTATTATTAATATCTTTTAGCCCTCTTAATTACTATATATGTGTAATTACCTTTATTTGTGGTCTCGTTTAAGGATTTTATATTCTCATATTAGTTTTTTACATATGTACAATATTTGAATATATCCATGACTTGTATATATATATATTAATGTTATGTAGTCTGTATATAGTGTTGTACTATACATTTATTACATGCATGCATGCGTGTATTATATATACTTACCAAACATTTAGATTTTTTTTTATATCGAATAGTTATATGCATAATAATATATTTTAATTTTTTAGGATCATGTATATATTTATTTAACATATTCCGATCTTCATATATTTATGTATGTACTTAGAGCTGATATTTTGAACAATCTCAAATGTTTGTTTAATGATTAATATGTTTAATGTCATTTATTCGAATACTTTCAAGAACGTCTTTGTAGAACGGACGTGGAAAGTATCACTTGGTCGAAGTGATGCAATCCTATACGACGTTCAAACAGAATGAAAAAAACGCAAATTCTTCCTTTTACGAGCTTATAGAAATTATTTTTATTGTTATTCTATTTTTGTTATTTTATTTGATGTTCATATTGTTTAATATTTAAATTTTAATCTTTATTATTATTTCTTCATTGAATCTTAATAGTGATGTATGTTTTGGAAAAATAAAATATGATGTATTTTATGTCAATTTTCGATATTTTTTTAAAAGAGAAAATATTCTTTACAAGTAAGAAATAGACGAGGTAGCTTTCCCGACGGAGGATTGCAAATCTCGGGATTTCTTGTCGAGAAAAGGGTTTTTTTTTCTTTTAACTAATATTCAATAATAAATTATAATTGATTTATCATTCTTTTTATAATTTTTATTGTATTAATGGTTGTTATATTAATATTAACGATACAGGTTTTAGATAAATTAAGCATATTTTATTTTCTACTCATGTCAATATTATTTAGTGGTAATTCAAAGATGGAATATACTTTATAGATAAGAAATGATGAGATAGCTTTCCGTTGGAGGATTGCAAATCTTAAGATTTCTTACCAATTGAAGTATTTCTATTATTTTAACAAATATTCAATAAATAGATCATATTTTACTTCTGCTTCAAATTTAAGTTCCACCATTTACGACTATATATAAGTGACTAAGTACCGATTTTGGGCGTTGTGAGGGGTGTTTACCCTTCCCTATACGTAACCGACTCCCGAATCTGTTTTAAATGAATCTTTGGTAACGTAGACCGAATATTTGTCTTATAAAACTATTTTTCTTAAAATTGTTTTTAAAAGACGTTTTTAGGTATTTGACCTACCTGACCTAAAGGTCGATGGCGACTCTTTTCAACTTTATTCAAATCAATACAAATTTCCCAATTTTTCCAAATATAAGTCATAATTTTTTTAAAATAAATAATACTTAATAGTTTAAAAAATGGTTATGACAGCTTGGCGACTCTGCTGGGGAGATCTAGAGAGTCAGGCTGTCGGTCGCTTATATATGGTCGTTATGGTGGAAATTATAAGTTCGAATCTTTAGTAAAACTATGATCTATTTATTGTATTTTTATGTATATTTTATCTCTTTATTTTATATACTAACGTTTTAATTGTTTTCATTTTTTTTCAGATATTTCTTAGTTCTCGTTAGGTGTTTTTTTATTTTATTTTTATTTTTTATTTTCCCTGTTTTTGAGTCAAAGGTTTGTTTGTTTCTCCTCACACACATCACTTTCATTAGCATAACATGAGCTCTAGACATGAGTTTCGATCCAAATTAGTTAGGGTGATTGCTTTACTCTCGTAAGAATTTATTCTTCGTATGAGTTTTAGCAAATAACCCATGGGATACATACCTTATACCTTCGTAGGAATTTATTCCTCGTATGGGTATAAGGCCGTGAATCCCCTCGAATTGAACTCGGTCCGTTTGAAACCTGTAATGGGTGAGGATTGAGGGTTTGGTAGCCCAAGGGGGCACTGACATCAAGGACAATTCGAGTTCCTTTTTTCCTGTTAGAGCTGAAACCATGCATATAGTGAACCATAGAACGGTCACACTAGGTAGAGTCATACTGAACCTCGGTCCGTCAATAGGTACCCAAAATAGGCGTACACAATGGAGAAACCCTCTAACCTTTTTATTTTATTTTATTTATTTTTGAGTGTGTAGAATAGATTTATTCTGTTAAAGCATGTGAAATAGAATTTAGGTGCAGTTAGAATTTAATTAATTTAGGAGGGTAGAGAGCATGTTTGGGTAGGACCCTTTTTGAGGAATATTATTCAGGTAGATAATGCATAAATAGAATAGATTTATTTCCCGTTTTACTTATCTTTTTATGTTAAATTTATGCAATTGTTTTGACTAACTGTTTTGTTTGTTTTGTTTATTTTTTTTTTCATACTGCATAGACATATCATTAGAAAAGGCGATTGATCTGTGAGTATCGATAAAGTGGAAAGACTTTCACGATGGAAAGGAGTTTCCTAAACAAAGAAGTGAATCCAGCAGATGTAAGGAACTGGTCCGAGGCCAAGCAGAAAGAGCAGGGAGATAGTCTATCAGGGAACTACGTGTCGGATCTGTCTGATTATACACCAGCTTCTTTAAAACAGAATGAGCTTCAGGGATTGAAAACCATTTGGGAAAGTTGGAATCTTATTGAGAGGCAAGCTTTTCAACAGACTTATGGGGATATATTTCATCTGATATACGTGAAGGTAGACCCGGTTCTCATACGAAGCATAATACAGTTTTGGAATCCGGCCTATAGTTGTTTCACATTCAACCGAGAGGACATGACTCCAACCCTCGAGGAATACCAATTTCTGTTGAATTTGACAAGCGTTAAAGTGGACAAAGTTTACTCCCGGTCGATAAAAGGGCCTTCTTTTAAGTCAAAGCTTGCAAAGATCTCGGGCACAAGCGACAAATGGGTGAATGATCGTTTGCAACGCAAGGGAGAAAGTGAGGGAGTGCCGTGGTCTCACTTACAAAAGATAGCTGAAGCACATGTAGATGAAAACGTGCGTAGAGATGTATTTGCTTTGGGTATATATGGTCTGGTAATCTTTCCAAAATGTTTGGGATTGATCGAGCTAGCAGTAGTCGATTTGGTTGAGAAGTTAGGAAGAGAGATGAATCCAGTCCATGCAATTCTTGCTGAAACTTTCCGATCTTTGAATATATGTAGAAGGTTGGGGGGAGGTCGTTTTATGGGCTGTGCTCAATTGCTTACTGTGTGGATCAAAAGCCATTTCTGGAAGGAAGAAAAAGTCAACTATAACCGTTTTTTGAAAGATTATTCTCCTGTTGCTGAGTACCTCACGAAGGAATGGCCTGAAGTATCTCAGAAAGATCAATGGATTGATTTCTTCCGGAATCTACAGAGTCAAAACATAGCATG